AAGAACAAAGATTTAGTGGTCCCTCTGGTAGACAGGATATATATGAAATAATAAAAATACTAATATACAATTGAATCCTAAACTGATACTAAATGGTATCATGGAGACTCTAAATTCTGTATTACTTTAGAGAAAGAAAAGAGTCTAGCAGTCAGAGAAAAGATGGGATGGGGCATGCATGTTCAAACTCAGAGCCAGTCACAAGAACCCATATATCCTTATAAACTCTAGAATTTCCCAGATACTGAGCAGCCCCACACTATTCTTGGTTGGACATAAGAACAGTAGTAAACAAGGGCTCAGGTCTGAGAGAATGACGACCCTGCAAGCAGTCAGATTCCCTGAAGGTTACTGTTTACTCTTAGTACCAGGCTATTGTGTCCTTCAATCATGGCCATACTGAATATATATACTACCATACTGACAGGCACAGTATATAAGCCCATATACCACAGACCAGCTGGCATGATGATCTAAGTTTTAACTACAATGTTTCTACTTGCCTGATTTTCTCTTGTATCTTGTGATGATGAAGTAGGAAACAATGTAGAGAATGGCAAAAAGAAGGAAACATATCTGGAAAAAAAAATTAACAGTTCATTTACATTTGTGGCATATTTTTTTAATAAATTATAGAAGATACATCTTTGGTATTTATATGCAAGAAGGATTCAATCTATTAAAAAAGTAAAAAATTTTAAATATTTTGCTAATATATAAAGTTTTGATAAAATACTAACTTATATGAACTAATAACTCAAATAGCCCAGTGTTTAATATCATTGCAGGAAAAAAAGCCCAATGAAGATCCTTCTTTTCATAACTTAACCAAATTGTTTTCAAAATCATATGGAAGTGTAAAGAGCAAGACCAACACCAACAATTCTGAAAACTAAAGTCAATGAGACGCTACTATCCCTTCCAAATATCAAACACACTATAAAGCTTCAATAACATTTAAAGAGTGTGATGGCACCAAAACTTGACAGACAAATGAAACATCTATTACACAAAATTTATATAATTTGGTTCTACATACAGGAAACATCACAAATCAATATGGGGGGAATAATCATTCAATAAATATACCACATACCAAAATAAACAGCAGTTGAATGAGAAACTTTTTAAATATTAAATTCAAATTAAATTCCATTTAATTTTATGGGGATGATAGGTAAAAGAGGATGGGTCAAAGAACAGGAGATCTCATTATAGTCAAAGACCAAGTGTGCAGAAATAAAGTCTTACTAGAGCTATGAATCAGGGTAAAAATAGTTTGAAGACTCTCAAATGAAACAATTCAAAGTGATGATAGTCTAGGGAGCACCCCTATGCATAGATTTCTGAAGAAGGATTGTTGGCCACATGACTAAAAATGACCTTAGATCTAGGTGTGAACAGCCACTGTAAAATGTCATCTAGGAAATGACAAACTGAGAATGGAGAGGAAGACCATGAGCCTCGTATTCTTCCAATACAAGTGGAGTGGGAAAGTGACAACGGACAATGATGACAGTGACCAAAAAGGAGCCAAGAGTCAAAAGCATCAAATTGGCCTACTGCTGGGAGCCCACAAGAACTCCAGATGGATAAGAGAATGTTAGCACCATCACTACTTCCTCCCAAAATCCTATGAGTGGGGAAAATGGGTCAAAAAGGAAACCAGTTATTGGTGAAGAAATGTAAACAGAGGGGGTCTCTTAAGAAGATGTTAAGTGTCGGGGGAGACTGTTTATAATGGAATGGTGAAGTCTGAGTAGGGCTGCAAGAGCACTAGAAACAAGGGTAACTGGGCAGAAACTCTATGACTTACAAGTTTAAAGTCAGAGGGATCGAATGACCAAGGGAATTAATATTTATTACAGAAGCTAATTGAAATTCAATTCATTCAACATTTACTTGTCATGAGCTTACTGTACACCAGGCACTCTTTTCAGAACTGAGAACACAGCAGTGAACAAAACAAAGCTCCCACCCTCACTGAGCTTACACTCCACTAAGAAAACAGCCAATCAATAAACAGACAACGGGGCAAATGACAATTGGTGCAGGATTAGGGGAACAGGGAGTGCGAGCAGAGGCGAGGGGGCACGCTTCACTAATAAGGTGACATCTGAGGAAGGACTTATGGGAGAAGAGAGCGCAAGACATGCAGAAATCTGGAGGGAAGGTACTCAAGGCATAGAGAACAGTCACACCAAAGGTCTGAGACAGGAAAAGCTCTGGTGTGTTCAAACAGCAAGAGAAGTAAGAGATGAGGTCATACAGGAGTTTGTACTAAGTGTCAGTTCTCACAAACAGTGAAGAGTTGGTTTTTACCCTGAGTGAGGCAGGAATCCACGCAATGGGACTTTGAGCAGAGGGTGACAGGATCTGACAGAGGGCAAAAGGCTCACTCTAGGTACAATGTGGAAAGTAACTTAGAAGGGACAGGTCTGAAGCAGAGACCAGTTGGGAGTGCCCTGCAATCATCCAGAAGACAGGTCACTTAGACCTGTGTAGTAGAAACATCAAAAATTATTAAGTCCTGGGTATGTTTTGAAAACAGACTTGACAGGGCTTGCAGGCATAAGGCTTGGCCTAAGAAATTGGAAAGAGAGAGTGGCCATTTCCTGAGTCAGGAAAGATTATGAGTAAAGTTATTTTGTGCTGGAAATACAAAGTACAGTTTACACTGCTGAATGTGAAATACTTATTATTCACTCAGGTGGAGAGGGTGGATGAGCTGTTGGATATAAAAATCTGTACAGTCCAAGGAAAGGAGACTGGCTAGAATTTTTTTTTAAGGTGAGGAGCAGGGAGGACATAAGCAGATAGATAGCTAAAGGCCTGAGACCAGATGAGATTTCCAACCCAGGGAGTGAGTACAGCCAGAGAAGTCTGAGAACCAAGCCCCGGAGCTCTCAAATATTTAGAAGTCAACTTGACAGAAGGAACCAGGAAGAGCTAACTGAGAAGCAGCAGTCAGCGGGTAGGAGGCAAACAGACTGTGATGTCCCAAAAGTCAAATGAAGAAAGTTCATGTAGGAAAAGGGAATTATCAGCCGTGTCAAATGCTGCTGACAGGCCAAGTAAGATGAGCACTGAGAATTGACAACTGAATTTAGCAACATGGAGGTCACTGGTGACCTTGACCAGAGCTGTTTTTCTGAAGCGCTGAACGTAAAACCCTGACTGAAGTAAATTAAGACAGAAGAAGAACTGAAAATAAAATGTACATAGACAGTTCTTTCCAGTAATTTTATGGTAAAGGGAAGCAAAAGAAATGTGATGGGAACTATGAAGAGGGCTTTTTTTTTTTTTAAGATGAGAAAAGTTACATAGTTGCAATAATAATCAGGTAGAGAGAAAAATTATTGATGCAAGAAAGAAAAAGGAGAAGTGCTAAAGCAATGTGTTCAAGGTGAGGAGCTAGAAATAAGTGTATCCCTAGTCAGAAGGAGGAGGAGCAGAAGAGGACAGAACATTCGAGTCCCACTGCAGCTAGGTAAGCAGATGTGTGGTAAAAGCACAAAAACATTCCCTTTAGATGGTTTCTATTTTCTTAGTAAAATAGAAGCCAAGTTCCTCAAATAAGAGTTACACATGGAGACAGAATTCACACAGGAGGAGGATACCGTAAATGGAGTAGAGAATATGAGGGAATCGTGAGAGCCACAGCAAGATGAAATGGACTTCACAGCTCCAGGCAAGCCCAAGCTGAACCTCCGAGCCAGGCAGGAGGCCCACTACTGCTCTACAACACAACGGCCTAGCTCTTAGGTGCTGGGGAAGCTGCAGGTAAACCAAGCAGAGGTTTGAGGATTCTAACAACTACCCTATTCTCTCCTCCCCTGTACAGCCTACACTTGCAGACTTGTGCTGGGTACCACTCACTCACTCCTCCAATCACATATCTGACTTCATGTCCACTGACCAACTCCAAGTGCTCTGGCAGTGGTCAGTCAAGACCTAGCAGCCGAATTCCACTCTCACAATTTCACCTGATCTCTGAGCAGCCCCTCCTATTTCAGCAATCATCCTCCTTCTCTGATTATTCACCCAGTTTCCATCACTAGCTTCCCTTTTCCTCCCAGCCTTTAAACATTATTCTTCTAAAACAAACAAAACAAAACACACCACACTATTACTCTTCTCTATGATTTCAGGGCTGAGCCAGAAATCTATTCTCAATCCATAAACTCTTCACAGGTAACCTAATCTGCTCCCAGGGTTTTAACCATCAACCCCAGAAATCCCTGGACAACAGTGTGAAAACCACTGGATTAGGGTATTAGCAAAAGTAAGTAAAGGGTGCCTGGGTGGCTCAGTCGGTTGGGTGTTTCCCTTCGGCTCAGGTTGCAATCCCCTGGGATTAAGCCCTGTGTCAGGCTCCCTGCTCATAAGGGAGTCTGCTTCTCCCTCTCCCTCTGTCCCACCTGCCCCCTTGCTTGTGTTCGCTCTCTCGTGCTCTCTCTCTAAAACATAAATAAAATCTTTAAAAAAAAAAAAGTGAATGAAATGAATGGCCATAAATCCTAAGTAGATTGGGGGGGGGCGTGGGGAAAGAAACCAAGTACAGAGTGATGGATAAGTGGAGATGTCTATCAACTGAGGCTCCCAGTAGAACTGCAGGAGACCAAGGAATGTGGAAGAAGAAAAGGTTATGCTTAAAGAATGTTTACAGATTTTTAAACTTAGTATTTGAAGTTAGAGAACAAAAGTGTCAGGAATTCCAGAAAGTTCATGCAGAAGCAGAAGATGAGAAGGCATGAGAGGTAATGAAAAAAAGGAAATTAAGAAACCAAAATGCATGGCATAAAATGAAAAGACTAATGGAAAGCGATTCATTTAAGAATGGAAATAAAGCTAACAATTACAAAAACAAATATAAGTATTACTAATTTAAATATAAAAGCCACCTATTAGAAAAATAAAAATACAACTATAACGGATTGGAAAACTCACAGAATGGGTTAGACTATTTTTCTAGTTCCAAAAGTGAGACTAGGAGCAAATGCTCCTCCCCTAAATGAGTGCATCTTCAACAGAAAGCAACCCAGAGATGAGTGAAATGAAAGCAAGCTGTCATGATGCCTCTATTGTCCCTATATCTGGTGGGAACAGAAGGAAATTCCTAACCAAAGAAGGAGAAAGGCAGGGCACCTGGGTGGCTTAGTTGGTTACGCACCTGCCTTTGGCTCATGTCATGATCCCAGGGTCCTGGGATCTAGCCCCGCATGGGGCTCCCTGCTCAGCGGGGAGTCAGCTTCTCCCTCTCCCTCTGCCGCTCCCCCTGCTTGTGCTCTATCTCTCTCTCTCTCTAATAAATAAATAAAATCTTTAAAAAAAAAAAAAGGAGGAGAAAGTCATTACAGCTCCTCACCATTAACAGTGAGTAAGATACAGCTGATAAAAAGGGAGAGGAACAGGCTCTCATAGTTCTCTAAGAAGACTGAGCTTTCCCTCCTGGTCAGGAAGGAAGAGCAAGGTTACTGAAACTCGCAAGCAGAAACAATACCAGTTGCATATCCAGAATGGTTAATACCTATTCTTCTCAAACTATTCCAAAAAGATAGAAGATGCAGAAAAG